ATATACTAAATATATATAGTAAAATCTAAATACATGCATAACTACTGGCTACCTAGCCTCAAATCGTATTCTTGTTTGGATGCGGTCACACCATGCACATCTAGTGTGACACACACACCCCTGTTATTAGGGTTCGTGTAACGCCGTTACAGGCTCTAAGTCTGGGCCGCGGATTGAGTACGAAACGTTTTATCACGCTTTCCAGCACATAGTACCAAAGGTGCGGTCCACACGAATTCATTCGACGATGCATTTTAAGGTGCAAGCGTCTTTTTGAAGAAGTTGGTCAAACAGATCTCGTGTAGCGACTTACAGCGCTTATTCGGTCTTTTTTTAGCGGATAGCATACACAATTAAGTGTGCAAATGATCTACCGCGAAACAGCGGACAACTTTCGATAGATTGAACCTTCAATCAAGACGTAATTGATCCGCAAAATCGTTGCGACCGGCTAGATATTTCTCAGCCAGAGAAGCTTTTTGGTAAACGCATAAGTAAATAAGGTACCAACTTATTGTGTCTTTAGAGCCAACTAACATGCGTCTAGATATAGAATTTTGTAACATCCTTGGCATATCTGAAATGCTTATTAGCGACGAAATCACAAATAGTTGCACTTACAGTGGACAGCTTTATTTTCGGAGAAATTTTAGTGCTCATGCTGGAAATTTGTATGTGTAGCCAATTCATGACATGACGCATAACTGAACACAGCAAATGTGGTGTGTTGTGACTCAAAATTTCACTCTTCAAAATACATAAAATCTGAATTGTTCTAGGACCGGAATAGTTTCTACGACAAAATGTCTTTTTTGCTGTTTGAAAATTAATATTATACCCTATTATTTTTAAATTAACTATTAGTGAGTTGTAAGACCTCTGGACGTCGTATTCGCATTAACTGCATTACAAAATGCAATCGTTGTACCCAATGTGTCGCTTCTTTTTCGTTCTTTGCACGCATAAGTATCATGTTACCTATTCGAAACTCGATGCGAAAACCACATTGCCCCGTCATTTCTACCTTCGTTACAGAACGCAAATCAATGTCGCCACGAGGTCTTTGCCAGTAACTGCGTTTAAACATTTTCATTAGAGATTCCCGAAAGTCAAGCGTGCACCAGCGCTTGCACCAGCTACGTCGGAGCAAAACCATAGTTTCTCGAAGCACAAAAAGGTTACCACTGTATGGTGGCAGATCCACTAGTTCTATCGAGGGTGAAAGTTGTGGAATTCCAACATTTTCAGGTGCATTCTGTCGTTCATTCAAGCCAATTGATGCTTTTTTATCATCTTCCATATAGAAAGCTCGATAAAACACGCGCTGAAATCGATACTTCTCAACGCGGATCACTTCAATTGCCTCTTTCACGCACATCATTTCGTGCTCTAGCTCGGCCATATCTGCTTCATCTAGTTCTATGCTCTTCACCTTAAGACGATCTTCACGTTCCATTTCTAATAAATCATCTTCCGTCATTGGATTACCGTCGTCATCTAAAAGCGTAAACCTCCCGGAGTCTGTCCGATGAAGTTCACTGCGCATGCGACTGCTTGGTACCTTGCTTTTCGAGCCAAAAGGATAAACTATAGTCCGCTCAATGTAACTAATTGTATCATGGTCTTCTCGGCCATCCCAAAACTCGTTCAGACTCACATTCTCGCGAAACATTTGCACAGTATTTGCTGTCTCGCTTACATCGAAATAGCCGTGCGCTTCAAAAAATGCAAGACCATCTCGTGCACGACCTTCATAGACGTCACGAAGATGCCGATCAAATGGAGTCACAAGTTCTCCACCGCTCGAGAAGCGATTCATGATGAATAATTACTTACGTACTCGGTCAGTATAGTTTCAAACAAACCGAGAAGTCATTGGTATATACTCAAATGCCGTACTCTCGGGTAGGACAAAAACCGAGGGTCAAAGCAGCCATTGTGGCTGGGTTTAAGTCTGAGGCAAGCAGGTCCCACCCAAACCCTGGGTGCTTCGATGTCGTGTCCAGCCGTTGGAATTGTAGATGGTATTGAATTTTTCAAAAGAATTCTGATCTTCTCAACTAAAAATAAATAATATTCAGTTCTCAAAATGCTTAATATATAACATTTATTTTGCAAAGTTATATTTCCTAAATAATCTAATTAATGATGTAGCTAGTAGCTTTTGTAAATCCTTTCCTCAGAATTGCACGACCGTATGGAATGAACGAGGCACCATACCAGAGCATTGCGACATATTGGACAATCATTAAAAGTAGCACAAGTGGTGCAGCTTTTGGAAAGCCAAAAGCAATAACAAGAGTCATGATCATAGCGCTCATCCAGATGCAGCATGCCACACGTCGTACAGGCATGCACATAACTTTAAGCTGCCGCATGGGACCAATAAGAAACAACGAACTGCCAATGCTGCAGACGCTGCTCAATGTGTAAAAAAAAGCAAATTGCTTTAAATGTCGAGGTCCACCCCACATCATAAGTGTGGAGAGAAAACCACACAATGCCCCAAACAAATAGCATCCAATAGCTCCGTAAAGTCTCTGGCGTTTAGTTAGACCACACTCTTGCCCGATTTCATTTAATAATCCTTCCTTTTCTTGACTAGCATTCAAAGGTGACTTGCCTATCTCGAGATCACTTTCATTGACTGTTTCTGCATTGCTGGACAAAGATGATGATGATCCAGAGGGCTTCACCATTGCTGGTACCTTTATGTTGAGTGCATTCGCCTTCGCCTGAATCGCCACTGAACTCTTTTGTGTGGCATCTTTCAGTGAACTAGCAAGATTAGACTTTTCTGCAGCATTCTTTAGCGACCCTGCAGTGTCAATTGCGAGCGTTGCCACCTGCGATGACTTGGCTTTTAACTGATCGAACATTGTTGAGATTAATGCCTTTTGACTGATGACGCTATTAAACTTGCAACTTATTCTAGAGTATTAATAGCTAATTGTGTTATCATGTTATTAAAGATAAGTTTTTATACTTTCCTATTTATAAATCCTCTTAAAATTAGAAGATTCTTGCAAGCATGTCCGACTCGGAGGAGTACGAGTACGAGTATGACAGCGATGAACAAGTGGATAGTGACGATCAGAGCTTAGCTGTAGATGGAGAAGATAGTGAGGTAACACAGCAACGTAATGCGATTCGTGAAGCTCAAATCGCATTGGAAAATTCGTTTTACGAGGCCGAAGACTTTCGTCAACGTGGTGATCTCACGCAGGCTTTTGAATTATATTTGCGCGTCGTGGTATTAGAAGGAAAGACAACGCCAATAGAAGGGCGAAAGTGGACATTTCAGGCACTTGAGCACGTAGTTAAGATCTGTGTCATTCGATGCCAATGGGAAGATATGCTCAACTATTATGAACAAATGCTAGAGCACTTGGCGTTCGTGACGAGAAACGAGAGCACGGAATCGATTTCATCTATTCTAGACGTTGTTTCTAATACCACAGGAAAGCAATTCGAAAAAGACAGTGCAAAATATACATCGAAGATGTATGAGCTCACGCTTGACAAGCTAAAGGATGTGAACAATGATCGACTTTGGTTCAGCATGAATATCAAACTTGGGAAATTGTATTTGGATATGCAGGAATTCGATCAATTGCAACGGCTTTTTGATCAGCTTTACGACTACTGTCAGGCACCTGACCACTCAAAGGCGACTTCATTGTTAGAAGTTTATGCATTGGAAATTCAGGTAAGGTATATCCAGCCAGCATCTGAAAACTAAATTATTGAAAAGGTTTCATGCTTTATCGTTGCTGATCATATAGCTATGTGTGGCGACGAAAAATAGTGTCAAGATGCGAGTGATATATCCGAAGACCCTGGATTTGGATGGTGCTGTCGCTGACCCACGCATAATGGGGTGTGTGCTAAACATCTATTTGGTGGTTACATTGTCACTAACTTTATTGTGTAAATCTAGAATAATTCGTGAGGAAGGTGGCAAGATGTATATGGAGATGGAGGAATGGATGCTTGCCTATAATGAGTTTTTTGAGAGCTTTCGCAACTATCAAGAAGCAGGTAATTCACGTGCGACGCAGTGTCTTAAGTATGTCGTACTTGCAAATATGCTGGCGAGCTCAAATATTAATCCATTTGACTCTCGAGAAGCAAAGGTTTACCAGGATGTGGAGGAGATTGGCGCGATGTTATTGTTACGTGGTGCCTATGAGACCAACGACATTGTACAGTTTGAGAAAGTTTTAAAAAATCCCAAGTTTAAATTGTTAGGTGATCCAATCATGAAAAGATACTTGAATCCGCTGCTGCGCAACATTCGCTGCCAAGTGATGAAGAAAATTGCTCGTCCATACCAAACCATTCGTATCGAGAGTCTTGCGAAAAGCTTAAATATCTCGACGAAAGATGTTGAGGAAATTGCGGTGGCATTGATTCAAAATTTGGAATTGGATGGTAAGATCGACCAAAGTCAAGGTCTTTTAGTGTTGCAGACACGTCAAAAGTACGTTATGTATTACTTTTAGTTCATTAAAATGTCTTACGTTGCTTGTTTATCAAAGAACTCGCGATGCCAGCAAGATGTACGACGCTTTAGATCGCTGGAGTCAAGCACTTGCTTCGACACATGCAATTATCGCTGCACGAGTGAAGGCGCATGTATAACATTTTTTGAAAGATGTAGTTTCTATCGCAATGAATTAATTATGAGAAGGATGGTATCATCTTTCACCAATGTTAAGTCGTTACTTTGACCTTAACGGATATGCAAGAAGACAGCGCTCATTGTGCTTTTTTATATAGGTAACTACTGCTATATCAGAAGCAGTAGCTGACACCACTTGAAACAGACTGCAAGAGCTTTGTTCAATTATGTTGGTTGAGTCAGTCACGATCACTGTCTCACATTTGCGAGATTCGTTAGCATTGAAAAAAAGCGCCTCTTGAATGTCCTTAATTGAGATGTTCTTTAGTCTTGTGTCACTTGATACAAAGTGGTCAACTAAAGCCTTTGCTGATGGAATCGTATTATTAGTGACAATCGTGACATTTTCAGAGCCTACGAGAGACAACAAAGCGTATAACAACTCAAAGCGCTGGATTGATGCATTTGCTGGTACGTCAATTACTTGGCCATCGCTGCTCGTCGTAAGCAAGACATTTAAGTCCACGAAAACAAACAGTATAGGCACCGCAAGAGGTTTAGCCATGAATCGTACGGTAGGATGCGCAATGACATTTCGACTCTGAATTAATTTTAAATCGCAATTTTTTCCACCTAGATTTAATGTGATTTGAAGCACATCCTGGATCGTCGAAATCACGTTCTCGAGTGCACGTTTGAAATCATTTGGGAAGCGGTAGAGCCAAGCAAGCAAAAGTGCTGCAAACAAATCACCCGTACCAGTGTAGTAACTGTCAATCCATGGAAAACGTATTTCAAACTGCTCGCAAAAATGCTTGCCATTGTTCGCAACGACTTTGCTGCCAATGACGATTAAGTTCTTTGGCATCGCATTTTCAAACGCTTCGTGAAAGCTACTGATTACTACAACCTTTGGGCCTAAAGAATGAAGCTTCTTGCACGCAAACATTGCTTCTTCTACCGTCTGAAGTTTCATCTCTGTCAATAGTTCGCATTCATACTGATTTGGCGTTAAAACGTCACAAATAGGTAATACCTTTAAACGGTAAAGGTCAACTATAACACCATACAAGAGAATCAGCGATACTCTCAAGTTGTACTATGACTCATCGCGTACCTAACTCTTGAGGAACGTAAAGCTTGCCTAAATCCCCCATCACTGGATCACATACATATACAAGGTGCTCCGATTGAGTCTGTGCCGCTCGAAGTCGCTCGTATACACGTACAATGGCTTCTAACAACAAAATAGAGCCAATGTAACCTGTGAGAAGGTGCGTATGCGCATCTTGCAATAGATTATTAGCTTCCATGCCATCCAATAGCTCGTGTAGCTCATCGCCCGTGAGACGGCGTCCTGTAAACGTCGCGTATCCTGTGTGATTGGAAAATTGTACGCTGTTGATAGGATCCACGTCGAACCCTAATATCTGAAGCGGGAATACGGCACTTTTATTGCCTACGTAGCCCTGTACCACGTGCGATTGAATGCTCAGCACACGACCGTCGTCTACCATTTTCTATTGCTGCTACGATTTGATTCCGAGAAATTATACTCGACACTGAGATAATTGGTAAAGATTAAATTTCAAAGCTATGTAAAGTATAATATACTTTACGGATGAACGACAAACTGCTGGGAGCAGCGAAAATTGCGACACAATTCTTTAGCGTAAGGTCAGCCGTACAAGTTCCTGGCTGTGTTTAGATACGGATTATCATGTTGTCAGATGGAACTGCATTTGTGGTCCTGGTTTGAAACATATTGATAACAGGATTGTATCTTCGCAGTGAGTGGATGATAAAAAGCTTTACGTGTCCTATCTCAAGACGACAGTTCATTTTGTCTCGCGTAGACTGAGTCGGCATAATGTCTGCTGTGTAGACGTCAACTTAGGCATTCAAATGTCTGCTACTTACACAAATGAGCTCTTAGGAAAATCAAGTATTGCTGTCGGAATATCATACGCATGAAGCAAAGCGCCTTTACAAGAATTATTACATCTGACGGGTAAATTCCTTCATAGCCGTACAATGCCTGCAGCTGGTAAAGCACGCATGATTCTAAATGCAATGGATACTGTAATGATCATATTGCTAGCTCTGGACTTATTGATTAGAGATAATTATGAAATCCTTCTACGAACCGAGATTACAATGTACAAACCTTTCGGATCGTGCTGATAGAGACTCGATCTGCGGCTTATCTTTGTAGCATCCATTGTGTTCGTGAAGCCTGCAAAAAGAGTTTCACTTGCGATCTAAAGAGATGTCAGAGAAGAGCAGGTTATACGTCTTCCAAACGTATTTAACGTCACCCTCAACCAAAAAGTCAAGAGGCTACCAAAAAATGCGTTCTGCTCTCACTTTGCTACTTGTATCCTCTTTGGCGCTCACCAACGCAGCAGGTATACCTATATAATCAGTCTCACGATGTTGACCGCTCAAATCAGTAATTCTTACATTATTTGTTAGATACAAGTTCAGATGTTACACCGCCGGCCCTCACGCTATCTCCAGAAGCCAATCTCCTCCTACAATCAAGAGATGAAACGACTACTTCGCTGCCCTCTGATAATCACAATTCTGCAATGGAAACCCATCTGGCTACCACCGCACCACCTACTGAGCCTTCTGCTTCGATACCGACAGATATGAAGAGCACGGTGAATACACCCTCGAATGAGCAGAGCAAACCTAACTTACCGTCAAATGCTGCAAACACAAACAACTCCAACTTGACATTAGATCGCGACACTTCTGACTCACCAGATCAGATTGAGGCTGGATCATTGGCGACGGCATCATCGAAGTCCTCGACAGCTTCTGTTGACACTCTAAACGACAAGAATGATGACTTAAGCACAGGCAACAAATCCAGCGCTAGCATAGTGCTTCCGACTATTTTTGGAGGAATGGCTTGCGTGGGTGCTATCGTCCTTGCTATTATGTACAAGAAGAAGCACAACATCAACGGTGGTGACCTAGGCAGCAACGCAACTGGAACAATCATAACACCGAGTAATCAAGCGGAAGGCAGAGGGCCAAAAGACTACTCGTCGGAGGCAATGAAGATGTCGGATCTTTGCCACGTCGACGTACGACCACCAAGTACCAACATATCCGACAGTTTGTCACCTTTCAGCAGCGCTCGTTGTAAAGTGCGTGTCAGCTCTCCGGTATCGAGCTACCACGTGAGTAGCGAATCCAACACAGAATTTTCGGACGTGTACCCTCGTCATATTGAAGGCAGTAACGTGGTGCTTACTTTTGGAGAGGTGTCGAATACACAAAGCTCATGGCCTCAAGTCCAACTATAACTTAATCACAAGAAACAATCTGTGTTAAATGTTAACTACAATATTACGTATACTCAAACTAGTGTCGATGAAACGAGCTTCACCAAATTGAGCTGAAAAGAACAACTTTCGCTCAGTCCTTGGGTACAACGACGAGCTTTTACTTGAACACCCAGCATTGAGGGTAATGATTATCATCCAGTAAGAACTTCTTGTCACATTTTAATTGTCTGCCCAAAGGCTTGAAAAGTCGATTAAATATATGAAAGATGCATGACCAAGTCGTTCAATTGCATTTAAACGGTCGTACAGTTGAAACAATAGAGATCAAGATTGCAGCTGTGCTGGCAGATTGTTATATGGATACGGGTAATCAAGCTCGTATTACTACGTTGCTTCAAGGATTGGAATTGTTGAAATTCAGGATCGAAGGTTCAACTGCCATACTGCAATTGTTGTGTACACTATTGTTATCGATGAATTTCGTTAAGAAAGCAGTAACAGCGTCGTTTCTTGATTGTAAAGTATGACACGACCAGAATGTTAGTAGGCTTGTTTTTATTTGATTATTTTCATATGCTAAAGCCACTACAAAAATATGCTGGTTTGTACTTTGTACATAATAGATTTAAACAGATACAAGCATATATCAATTTTTACAGGAAAAACGCTTGAGACTGCCAAATCACAAACAGTAAAGATGGATATCGTTTTGGGGGATAAAAGCCGTTGTGCGTTTATGTAGAGAGTTTATGCCGCAATTAATAGATTGAAGGCTCTCAGGCTATTTATATGAGCTTCTCTCCAAGGAATTCACTTGCGTATGCGATGGAGTAGACTCATTCGTTGAAATTTCTATAAATTTGACACTACCACGAACCTTAAAGGATCTGTCTCTGGTCTAAAGTTTATGGCTAGACATCAACTCATGGTGCTGCTTAAATAAATAAAGCAATTACCGAATCTGCCCGCCAAAGTACTGCGGATAGTTGATTGACATTGAGGGGATACGCGCATGTATCTAACGTCTCGTCAGTGGTGCCGTGAGTAACTTTTTAAAAACGATTGCAATAAGACAATGTGTCTCCGGGATAAGGCCTCAAGATCTTAAGTAGCGTCTATCCATTAGTCAGGAAGCTGTCATCACGACAATGTCAAAATTTTATTGATGCCGCATCTTCCT